AGGAGGCAGGAGGAGGAGGAGGAGGAGGAGGAGGAGGAGGAGGAGAGGAGGAGGAGGAGGAGGAGGGAGGAGGAGGAGGAGGAGGAGGAGGAGGAGGAGGAGGAGGAGGAGGAGGGAGGAGGAGGAGGAGGAGGAGGAGGAGAAGGAGAAGGACCCCCTCCGGGCAGCCGCGGTCGGGCAAGGGCTCCGAGGCGGCGGCGTCGGCGACCCGATCGGCCTCCCGCGGCTCGAGCCGCACCCGGAAGACGTGTCAGAGGATGAACAGGTGCCAATACTGCCACAGAGATGTGCATGCAGCTCGCAGGGTGGATGCCGTCAAATACAAGATCGTTTCCCACATACCTTGCAATCGCCCAGGGGCTGCCGCAGCCGCCGCAGCCTGTGGCTTGACCTGACCTGGACTCGCTGCTAATTGCCCTGGCCTCGTTTTCGCGTGTTCGGGCCTCATGCGAGGACCCCGTCGCCAGGGTTGGATCCGCCTCGAAATTCTGGTCCGGACGCACCCCGAGAGAGGTCCAGGGAGCAGCAGCACGGGTACCTTTGGTGTCCCCATGGACGGCCGCCTTCCGCCTGGCGGTCACCTTCGCCCTCGCCGCATTGCTCCTCGCCTTCATCCTCGCCCCCATCCTCATCCGCCTCCTCGCCCTCATTTCAACGAGGCGACGTGGCTACATCATGAGAAAACGGATGAGTGGGGACGGTCGGGAAATTAGCTCCTGAAGTACGCATTGTCCTGAGTAGACCCCCGACGCGCGCAGCTTCTCCTGCGAGGCCATGGCCTCACCCGCCTCGCCCTTAAGGGGCCCGGGCGCATGCCCGCACAGGCGTTCCGTTTCGTTTCGCTTGCTTCCTGTCGTGCCGACGCGGCGGTGACCCCCTCGCGGGCGTTCGAGGCTGAACGCCGCCGGCGGCCCAGGGCCCAGGATCGGCCAATACGGAGCGATCTGGCGATCGGGAAGCCGCCGATCGTTCGAGGGGGAACGAGCCGCGCAGTGTCGGAAGCCAGCGCTGCGGCCGTCACGACTCGAGCCCGCCGTACCATGACCCATCCTCAGTTCCCCGACGTCATGCTTGGATCATAGCGTAACAACGTCGACCCCCAGAGGTCCTGACCCACTTCTCGGGACTGGCTTTTTTCATCCCGAGTTTGTTTTGACCGTCCCAGGGCCTGGCGAGGGCCCCCAGGCCGAAAATTGCAAAATCGTCCATCGAGATTTCTTCACGACGCGATCAGGTTTGGTTTTTTCGGGGCATGCCTCGGGTCTCCGGCGTCCGTTTGGAGCGATTCGGGCCCCCCCTTGGAGCGCCTAGGCGCAGCTGCTGGAGAGCATCCCGAGGTTGGGAAAACTTGTAATTATCGACGAAGGCGGCCGAAAACTTTCCGTCCTGATTTTTTTCACCGTCTGGGGATCGGTTACAGTCGGACCGATGCATAAGATCGAGGTCGCTTCGGGGAGGGTACCCCTAATGTTCTTCGAGCTTGTTGGATGTTCCTGTGCATCCTCGGAAGGGTACCCTTGGATGTTCTGTTTGTTCTGGCCCACGGAGGGTCTCATGTTCTTGAAGGATGTTTTTCTGGCCTGGGTCCGACTGTATGGGGATCGGTGAGAAGATGCCCATCCGCATGCCCATCTCCTTGGGGCGGCGGCCCGCAACAGGGGCCGGCGATATCCATCGGCGACTGCAGCACCCCCCGCGGAGAGATGCCGGCCTTGCCCAAGTGCCTCCGCCTGTCTTCTGCCACGGCGGGCTGTCGGTGGAGGTGAGGGGGCGAGTTCGAGGAGGGAAGAGGAGCGGTTCGGAGAAGAATTGCATAAACATAAAATCGTGGAGCTCCGCGTGGATTTCTTGGATCCGTGGTGGACCCCCGTGGCGGCGCCTCCCGCGCCGCCCCTGGCGCGCTCCGCGAGCTAGGGAGGGGTCCAGCGCTGTTCCAAGAAATCCCAGCAGAGCTCCGAATGATTGTCGTGCATTTGCAGCTTTTCCTTCAGCTAGTGATGTGGAGAGGAATTCTGACAGGGAAGAAGTAGCAGGCGTCAGACCAGACGATAGGGTGACGGCGTGGAGGAGGAATGGAGAAGAAGCTGGATAGGGAGGAAGAGAAGAAAAAGAGTGGAGAGAGAGAATTATGGGTAGGAGTCGGAGAGGAACGGTATGACGTTTTGAAAAGAGTGAAGAGTGGTCTGAACAGAGCAAGGCCAGGCCAGGGCAAGAAGGGGGCGTGCGGATACTCAACTACCATGCCTTTTGCATTAAATGATCTCACATCGTTGGTGGCACGCCTCCCTGCTCGGTCGCGAGAAGAGCAAGCCTGCATGCAAAGGCTATCTGCACCGAGCGCTCCATGTGGGACGAGCAAGGGTATTCGAGAGATGGAAAGAGCAGGAGGCAGTCAGGTCCATCCCCAGACATGCGATGTCTTGATTTTTATTCACTACAGGGTTCCTGGAAGTCCCGACAGGGTTCCTGGAAGTCCCGACCCTTTCCTTAGGACCTGTGTGGCATCCCGAGTAATTTTATGACGGTCCTGGGGCCCGGTGAGGGCCTCCGGAGGCTGAAAACGGCCAAACGACTCCCGTCGTGATTCTTTCACGGCAGAAGCATGTTTGGGTCTCGCGCCCCCTGTGTAGGCACCCTGGCGAGACCTGGCGCGGCATCCCCGCGAAATACAAGGTGACGCAGCTGATCGGCGCCGACGGGCTTTGAATGGCCGGTCGGCCTTCCAGACCTCGAAGCGGCAAAGGGTCTCATCGATCCGTGTGTTAGTTTTTGTCGACTGGACCCCTTCGAGACTTTTTGCGCTGAGAATTTCTCAGGGGATGATTCAGGTACCGATACCGTTGCTCGTCCTGGGCAGTCCTCGTCGCCCCGGCTGGATTCTCCCCGACGTTCTGGTCAAAATGCACCCTGGGGGAGGTCTGGGGGACTTGCGGTATCGGTACGTTCTTGTCTTCCCAGAGTCGGGGTGGCTTCGTGCCGTCGTGGGGTCAACCAAGGGGTCCGCGAAATCCACGCATGGATTTGGATCGCTCAACATGCCAAGGAATTTGAGGTGATTTCCAAGGCAGCGGCTCGCGGGCCGACATCGGCAATGTAAACGCGCCGTCGATTAAGAAACCTCCCATTGTCGCCTTGGCAGAGCGTTTCGTAGGCAGCTTCCAGTAAGCCATCCCACCGTCTTAGTCCCTGCAAATGAACGAGGCTGTTCGGTTGAAGCTGGCCCAGCTCGCGCGCAAGATTCGGCCGGAAAGCTGGCCTAGGTTTTCTCGGCACCTGTCTATCAATCATGTCTTGGCCCTGGATCTATCGGGGAACTATGGGGAGATGCTTTTGAACGGCTTCGATGGTTCTTGCCGTGTCTGCCCGAGCTGCGCGAAGAGGTTTTGAGGTTCTGGAGAGGAGAAGACATCGTTGTCGACCACAATCGTCTGGGTACCGTGGCTTCTATGTGTCTCTACAGCAAAGCTGGGCAAACGTTGTCGGGACAGATACAATTCTTGCCTCGACGGACCCTCTGCATTCACTTCTCGTCTGGAGTGACCGATCGGTTATGAAAAAAATCCGTCGCGCAGCATACCTGTTTGCGGGCTCGTGCCACGATGTCCGACACATCACTTACAAAAATAGACGACCTTGGTCCATGCTGCCATGAGCTCGACATCTTTGGGATGCTGACAAGCAGAGCAACTGCAGAATCCTTCGAGGCACCGATCACCCTGGAGGGCTGCAGGAGCGAGCCGGAGTCCAGACAGACAGCTACTTCCTGTGCTGTATTCTGGGGTGGACAGACCTCCTACCCTGACACGTCGATTGAGGAATTGGCCGTTTTCGGTTCGCGAGGGGGCGTCGCGGCCGTCATTTTTGCGGGTCCAGGTCCGTCGGTTTCGGTCCCAGGCGCTTTTCACTAAGGGGAGGTTTACTAAAGGGAGGTTTGTCCACCGCCGATGTATGCAGATCGCCGACGGCCGACAAATCTCACATTGGATTCCAACGCCCATGCGCAGGGGGGCCTCTCGGGTGGCCTCGCGGCGGCCGCGTCGGGCGATGGTCGGGCCACCGATCGGGGGCCTCGAGGACCTACGTCGAGGCTGGTGAACGGCGGCGCCTTGGGCCTCTCGGTGTCCTGAAGACCACTTGACGCAGATCGCGCAGCGAGAACGAATCGAGAATTTCGGTGGGTGTGTTGGTTAAAGGAGTGTGCCCAGGAGGCTTCGGACCCTGGAGGATTCCTTCTCTCATGAGGGCGGCGGTAAGATTCATGGCCAGTCCACGATTGGAGCCCCTCTGGCTTTCAGACCCCGGAATTCTTATTCAATGGTTCCTTATCACTTCGGGTATCTTGCGGGCGCGTCTCAACGTTCTCTTGGGCCATTTTGTGGTCTCTTGGGGGCCAGTTTGCGTCTTTCGGCTGTGCTTGAGAGCGCGTACCGGTTTTCATCAAGTTGCCCGTTAATGATTTATGGCGGCGCGTCGAAACGTATCATTCATTGCACTGGCTTGCGCAATGAGATCTACACTTGTCTCTAAACTGCGAATGAATACCTGCGACAGTGCTTTTCAGTTTGGCACTGCGGTGCAGCGATTGCCTCATTCGGGCGTTCCATGCGAAATCAAGCTCGGTGCTTTTCTTGACGACCGCAATCTGCGTACATTGATTTGTTGATATCAACGCAACCGATTAAGCTATATTTGTCCATGGAACCTGCCGTGCAGCCATAGTCACTAGTGGCCTCACGGTCGGCAGCTTCGTTTCTATAACCATCTCTTTGGTTGGCAACGCGCAGTCTAGTTTAGCAGATCATCCCACCATAAATTTACTGCAGCATAAACACAAGTCTGCATTAGAGCGCTCGCCCAGCCAGTGATAGTTCGTGCCCCAGCCAGGCGTGGCTCGGCTGTTTCCGCCTTTGCTATCGGTAGCTGGGTGTTCCTCTTCTTCCCCTCCCGTGCCATCTCCTGTAGCAGCCGACGACATGTGTGTCTCAATGCGCATCCCCAAAGGTCCCGACCCCTTCCCTGGGGTTGACATTTCGTCCTGGGTCCATGTGTGATGGTCGTCCCGGAGCTCAACAGCGCTCCAGAGGCCGACGTCAAGCAAAAACGCGGGGATCTAAACGTCTACATCGTCGGAGATCTGGCCCCTCTTCGTCGTCGTCGTCGCCAGCTCGTCGGCGATTTGGGTCCTCCGCCGCTCGACTACCTCCTCGGATGCCCTGCCCAGGGGCCGGGTCGTACGGCAGCGTGTGCGAGGCCGAGGACGTGCTGCCCGGCCCTGCCGCCTGCCGCCGCGCAGGGCCTCGGCAGAACGCGCGCCCGCGACCACGCCGCTCGCCGAGCCCAGCACGCTCCTCCTCCTCCTCCTCCTCCTCCTCCTCCTCCTCCTCCTCCTCCTCCTCCTCCTCCTCCTCCCCCTCCAACCAGCCAGCCCGTGTTTTAATCTTAATTCAGGCGGACCGTTTACCCCTGGTGACCCGTCCTCTGGAGCGAACGGGGTGTTTGCTCCCTCTTCTGCGCTTACCTTGTGGTCTTGGAATACACGTGCTTTTTTCTCATCGTACTCTACTTCGTCACCACTGGCAGGTCGGCGGTATAAGCAGATGTATGGTCTTGTTGGCAGGTTCGACGCTGTGTGTTTACAGGAGACTCATGGCACGGCGTCTGATGTGGAGATGTTACAGCGTGATGGTCGCTGTCGCAGTGCAATTGTTCACCATTCGATGATCGATCCGAGTGCTGGGGGCGGTGTGGTTACGGTTATATCGAGTAAGCTGGCTTCGCAGTTCGACTCGATCACTCCGTTTCCGTTGATTGCTAGCCGAGTTCTCGCCTCGCACCTGAAGGGACGTCGTGGGGACCTAGTGATTGTCAATGTTCACATGCCGAATACTTCGGACCCAGTTGCGATGTATCGCAGGTACCTGTGCGTGATTCAGGCGTTTCTTCCATGGGCTGCAAACACTATGTGCTTGATTGCTGGGGATTGGAACTTTATGGAGGTAGAGGAGGGGCGGTTTCGGACTGACGGCGCTTGGCTAGCAGGGGATAGGGGACACACTGATGCCTTTCAGTCTCTTTGTGGGTCTTGGGCTGAGCTTTTCCAACCAGATCCGACACGGCGTGATGTGTTCCAGGGAGAAGTCCGTGGGGTTGCCCGTCTGGACCGCATCTGCACTTCTCTCTCGGCCCCCGTCTTGAATGATTTGGCGGTGACGGTAAATACCCTGGGGCATGCCGTGAAGACCTTCGCCTCGTCCGACCACATCCTTGTTGTGGCCACTGTCGCTCTGAGAATGCCATCAGCGTTACCCACCCAGATTCCTAAGTGGATTTCCCGACATCGTGTTTACCATGAGTTGTGTGCCAGCGTTATTAAGGAAATCGACCAGGATTTGGCCCCTCGGGAGAAATTGGCTCGGGTGAAGGAGATTTTCTGGCAGGTGGCCCCTCTGTTCAAGGCTCGGCTTCGGATGAAGCCCCCGAAAGAGAATTGTGAGAAGCTCCACTTTGCTATGATGGCTTTCCGTGGGTGGCGTATGGGCAGGTTCGACCAGTGTGTGCGTGCGATCCGTGCGTACCCTCGGTTGCTTCAGTACTTTGATCCAGACCGTGAGAGATGCTCGGATATAGCCGGCCTGGGTGCTTTGGTGCAGTCTCTGAAGGATGTTTGGTATGAGTCGGAGGAACAGGCGATGGACGGGTGGGAGGATGACGAGAAGTCTAAGGCTAAGGCCATGGCCCGCTTGCAACACCTCCGTCGAGCCTGGTCAGAGATGCGTCGGCGCTATGGGGTCTCTGGGATCCTGGGCAGTTCTGGACAGGTGTGCCCTTCTCCGACGGCCTCTGCTGAGGCCCTTCGGGACCATTGACAGGCGGTTTCTGCCGCCAAGGAACCTGATCGGACCCTATGGCCTGGAATCCTCGCCCATGCCCAGCCGATCCAGTTGGACCCATTGCATTGGAAGTTGGATGTTGACGGCTTTGTTGAGCGAGCCCGATCTAAGCATCACTCTGCCCCTGGGGAGGATGGCATTCCGTATGGGTGCTGGAAGGCTGAGGGGGCCGCTGATGTTTTATTTGCTGTTAGTGAGGAGATGTATCAGGCATCTGGGGGTACAGTTTCGGCGTGCATGCGTCGAGGAAGGATGTGCTTTCTGCCCAAAGACCTCAAAGACGACGAGAACCCCGCTGTCCTTGTTCGGTCGCCTGATAAGACTCGCCCACTCACGCTAGCGAATACCGATGCGAAGCTCCTGAGTGACGCTTTCTCCATTGGCCTCCAGCGGGCTGCTCCGTCAGTGATCGACCCGATCCAGCGCGGGCGGGGGGGGGGGGGTTGCGCGACGTGGGCTCCTGGACAACGTGGTTGAGATTGAATGGTGGGGTCTTCGTCAGATGCTTACTGGCGGGGATCGCTCGGGCATTCTGTTCGCGGACTTTAAGGCTGCGTTCCCCTCTCTGATCGTCTCCTGGGTCTTGGCGGTCTTGGCGGCTATGGTGTTCCTGGTGAAGTTTGTGTGTGTGTGCGTGTGTGTTTATATATATATATTATCGGGAGTTGTACCGTGACAGTTGTACCGTGACAATGTGGCTGTAATCAACTTCGAGGGACTGCTGGCATTGCTTTTTCGGTGGAGCGTGGGGTGCGGCAAGGTGATCCTGCTCCGGTGCTTCTCTTCGCTCATGCGCTAGACCCAGTTTTGCGTTGGATGAGGGCCAAGCTCACTGACCATGTCCCTCGGATGGGAGCCTACGCTGATGATCTCTCCTTCTGCCTTCCCAACATCCTGACTGACCTCCAGCCGACGCTCTCGCTCCTTCGTAAGTTGGAACATGCTGTGGGGCTTGGGCTGAACATTCCCAAATGTAAGGTATTGGTGATTGGCACGCTTGATCCTGGTAGATTAGTTGCCCACCTTCGAGCCAAGGGGAGTGAGTACCACCGCATTGGGTTTGTTCGCGCTGTTTTATACTTGGGGTTCTGGCTCGGGCCTGGGGCTCTGGACAAAGTGTGGAGCAACGCCATCCCCAAGTTCTGGATGACGGTTCGGAGGCTTCGTGGACTTGGGCTGGGGCTTCCACAGACCATTCGCCTTTTCCACTCGCACTGCATGTCGATTTTGGCGTACCAGTTACAACTATGTCCAGTGACCACGGCTCTTCGGAAAGCGTATAATGAGGCCTTACAGGTGATTGCTGCTGGTCCCCGCCATGCCTTCTCGAGGGAGATGCTGACGGGCCTCCGAGCGTTGGGGGCCTCTTTAGAATGCTTGGATATCGATTGTTTTTCGAAGGCTATCAAGTTTCGGGTGCTGATGTCTTGCTCCAGTATTGATGCTGTCCAGTATGAGATGGAGTCTTTGACGGTTTCCCTGTATGGCGATAACTTCATTCCCTCTCGACTGTACTGGCCCTGGTGGAAGTCTTCCTGGATCAGGACTACGGTGGCTGAAGTAGGCACTTTCACGGTCCCGACCCTGGCCCCCATCCCCAATAAATCATGTCAGAAGAAGGCGATGCGCCAGCTCAGAGGGCTCCGTGGCCCCACTGCTCCCCTCCGCACTATGGTTCAGAGGGTGTCCAAGTGGGTGGGTCCCGACCGTTTTACGGTAGCTGACTTCCAGGTGCTTGCCCAGAGGATGCGTAAAGTTGAGAAGGACAGCGCGATGCACCTTGTCACGGGGGTCCTTAGAGTGCTCTGCCGTGGGGTTTGTACCTCCAGTCGTCTGCATGCCACGGTGGTGGGCTGTGCGTTTGGGTGTCCTCTGGAAGCGGCTGACGATGATCTGAGGGAGGCATTATCGCGCGTGCCCCAAGTTGAAGGCAGGGTTGATTGACATATTCCCCCGTGGTGGACTTCTGAGGTCTTGGACCGCGGCTCTAACGGGTGAGGATTGGCTCCTCACTCTCTGTTGTCTGGGGCCACAGCGGGGGCGGTCACGTGACCTAGTGGGGTGTGCCCTAATTGATTGCTTTCTGGCCGCGCATAATGCTCGTCGGACTGGCTCGGTCCAGCCGGGGGAATTTCTTATTAAAGCCAGGCTTCGGCAGTTGTCGCGTCGGCACCCCAAGCTTAATGAGGCGTTACGTGAGCTGCGTTTGAATACTGCTGCTGCCGCCCCTCCCCCTGCTCCCCCTGCTCCTCCTGCCGTGCCCCTCCTCTCCTGAGTTGGCCGTGTTCCCCATTTAAGTCCCCCCTTTTCCCTGTGGCCCCCTAGGTATAGGTCCATGCATGACGCTGTCAGAGTTTGATGTGACCCTGGTGGGTCTCTCGGGTTGGCTGGCTGGTTTTCCGAGGTTTTTCTTTTTGTTGTGCTTTCCCTCTGTTCAGTTACGTTTCTTGGTTAATTCAGGGCCCCGTGTCGTCGCCTGGGTTGCGGGCGCTGTTCAGTGCTCCTTGTGGCCCTCACCGCTTGCAGGATGGGGATGATGAGGCGCAGCTTCGGGCGTTCTTTAGGGGGGGGGCATGCTGACAGTTGGGTTGGCCCGCGCGCGTGAGAGAGTGCCTCTCTTGCCGCGCCGCCGCCCCCCAGCCTCTCTCCTGCCGCCCGCCCTGCGGCCGCCCCGCCTCTTTTGCCTGCCATGCCTCTCTTGCTGTCCTTGAGCTACCACAGGTTCTCGGACGGGCGGAACGGTCTGGTTCGTTCGGGCGTCGATCGATCGTCGCTCCTGTGGTGTTGGCAGGCCTTCCCGCGGCGCCAAGCCGTGGCGCTTGGTGAACATCCAGACGCCCGATGCGTCTGGCGCGGAGGAGGCCCCCCCCCTCCGCCGCGCCCTGCCGTCGCCCTCAGGTTCCTGACGAAGCTCGGGGCACCTCGGCAGCCGCTCCGCGCGAGGGGGCGTTCCCCTCTCGCCCTCGGGTTCCCGACGAAGTTCGTGGCACTCTGGGGGCCAGCAGACTGGTATTCCCTCGGTTTGTGTGTTGGGTCCTCGTTTTGGGGCGCGCCCCCTTTGTCTGCTTCTGCCTGCTGCGCCTTGGGTTGGGCCCTCGGTCAGCCGAGGAGTGAGTGTGGCCTGGGAAGGATGCTCTAGTGTGAGATCCCCCTTTTGGACGGTGGGCATTTGAAGGGGCGCGCGCCCGCCAGGGATCCTGTGCACTCGGGGCAGAGTACCCGCCGCCGCTTCTCTTTGCCCTGCCCCTGCTGCTGCCGCTCTCTTGTCTTATGCATGCCTGGTTGCACGGTGCCCGGTGCTCGCTGAGATGGACTCCTGACTGTTGGGGAAAACGTGGGCGTGCGCGATAGCGGTGGGGAAAAAAAAAA